CCTCCTGCTAAGGCTGTCCTATCCCATTTGCACCTCACCGCAGTCCCTGCTTTTGGGATGTCTATTCACCATGGTTGCATCTCTCTGTGTCATTAGAGCAGTGGTTCTCAACTGGGGCAACTCTGCCTCCCAAGGAACATCTGGCAACACCTGGAGACATTTTTGGTGTGCTACTGGCATCTAGTGGGTAGAAGCAAGGATGCTGCCAACGCCCTGCAGTGCACAGAGCAGGTCCCCACAACTAGGATTTATCCAGCTCAAAGCGTCTATGATGCTAAGGCCAAGAAACCCTGTGCTGACAAAGCTTTAGAGGGAGCAGTGAGTGGGCCAGAACTGTGAACAGTTCTCCCTCCTGACCCAGGGAGCAGCCCATCCCACAGCCCGTGGCACGAGCCTCCTATTCCTCTGATCACCCAGCCTGGAGCCGATTCCTGAACAGACCCAGCCACACTGCCAACAATGCATCAGTTTAATTGGGTTAGGTGGCCATTAGCAGCAAAAGCAGGGCGGCTGTGTACAGAAGAAGGTTTTTAATTTTACTTTTTAAATGATGCTCATTCCCCAGAGAAGCCATGGGTGGTGGGAATGCTGCCCATTGGAGCCCCAAGCACCAAGGCCAGGGCAGCACCTTCCCTTGCCCCATCCATGTGAGCCTATTGGCACTGTGGAAGGGCTGCTTGCTGTCCAAGAAAGAAACTGAGGGAACAGGGACTTGACCAAGGTCACTAGGGTCATCCAACACCAGCCCCATGTCTAAGGAGACCAGTGCCCATATCCTCTTTCCTCAGCCCTATCTCCTGTGGACAGCAAACACCATGTGGCCACTGATCTTAGCAAAGAGGAAGGGGAAGTATCAGGGAAAAGTTTGTATGGCTGGGAGCAGCCTGAATCTACAGTCTGGTTTTACTGCAAGACCTCTCCTAAGGCTCAGTTCCTTACATGGAAAATAGAAGTAAAAGAAGTAACCCAGTGATTTGTGGGCAATCCCAAGTGTTCAGGTTCATCTTAGGCCTGGCACTTGGTGGGCACTCATTATTTCTGCCATTTTAAGGGAAAACTGAGTCTACAAAGAATCATCTGTGGAGCACTGAAAAATACTGATGCCCTGCGGCACCTCTGGAGAATCTGAAGTACTGGGTCTGAGGTGGAGCTTTTAAAAGCTCCCCAGCTGGTTCCAACTACAACCAGGGCTAAAAAACATGGCAAAGGGGCAAAGACAAAGTATCTGGAGAGGTCTTGGCCCCTCGGACTATGGGTGGGACCTGATGCAAACATGGCTGGAGGTCCTGGAGTCCCAGCCAGGCCTCTCCACTGTCTCTATTTGTGGGGGGTTGGAAGAGAAAAAGACTTCCTGGGAGCAGGATTCCAGCCCCCTCACTGATGTTCTCAGGGACCTGCTCTAGCCTGGCCACCCTTGTCCTGAGTTTCCCATTCTCTGGGAAATAAGCTTGTTGAGCCACAACACCCTTGGTCTTGACCCAAAGAGAAGGCTGAGAACTCCTCCCAGGGGCTGCCTTTACCTGCTTCAAGGCCATGCCCACTCCCATGGCACATGGATCTGAGCCACACAGCAAAGGTGCTAGAGATAATGCTGCAGGTGGTACGACCTTCAAGGACACTGTACACACTATGGCCTTCATGAATGATGGACCCTGGCAGAGAGGGTGCTCTGTGTGTGTGTGTGTGTGTGTGTGTGTGTGTGTTGTGTATTTTATTTTACTTTTTGAGATGAGGTTTTGCTGGGTTAACTCTCTTTGGGCTCAAGTGGTCCTCCTGTCTCACAGCCTGTTGAGTAGCTAGAATGACGTGCATATGCCACTGTATCTGGCTTTTGTGTCTCTCTTTTACATAGGTAAAACTGGGGCCTGGGAAGGGACTGGTATGGGAGCTCCATGGAGGCAGGAACAAGGGTGCTCTTCCCCACTGCACGCTAGCACAGTGCCTGTCCCACAGTAGGCCAATAGTGAATGTTGGGGAATAGATGGAGGGAGGAACACAACAATGAAGAGATGACCTTTCTGAGAAAGGGGCCATGTGCCAAGACTCTAGCTGGGTGGACTGGAACGTGCTGATTTGGGTCCATCTCTGCCCACAGTGTGCCACAGAATTTCAGCATCTTCTTATTCTCCTGGGACTCAAGACCCTATGAGAGCAGGCCCTGGCTCAGAGGCCTACCTCCTTGGGTAGGGGAAGTGCCAAGACAGTTCCCCTCCGTATGGCCAAAGCTGAGGGCTAAGCAGGCTTGCTGGGCCTAGGGATGGTGCTTGTCTGTGTTGCAAGGTGCTGATCTGGCCTGCTTCTACCTGACTCTTGGCTCTGGAAACTGCCCTGAGCAGCCTGGAGAAACATCTGATTGTCCTCGATTAGAGGAGACAATGAACTTTTGCCCTGTGTTGCTTAGCTCCCTCTTTGCAAGCCCCAAATTAAAATTCCAGACCAGAATAAGGGATTTAAATTGGATTACTGGATGGGGTCCAGGGAGAAAGGAACAATGGAGTGGGGGATGGGGCTTCAGCCCCCTAACACCCCTCCCTCTTTGTGCACTTAGGCTGCAAACACACATGGAAAAGAAGAAAGGGACCAGAACTTGATAAAAAGCAAATTTAAAACATAATGAAGATCAAAGCTCACTGTGAACAATTAGGCCCACGAAGGGGGAGGGGGGTTCTCCCTTCCTCTGAGGAAATGGGGAGGACAGTTTTATGGGCCAGGAGCCAGGGGATGCTGCAGCATGAGGAGTCAATGGAAAGGAGGGTGCTGGGAGGGCTACAGCTGTGGCTCAGTGCACATCTCTGGAGTAAGGTGGGCAGTCAGGGCCTGGGTCAGGGTCAGACAGACCTGGATTCAAATCCTAGCTCTGCCTTATCCTGTCTTAACACATGGCATCTCTAAGTCTGTTTCCCCCTCTGTGAAATGAGTGAGCAGGTCCTCCCCCTCATAGCAGTGTGCCTTTATCCATCATTTTCCCATCAAACACCATTAAGTGCTGACCATGTACCAGGCCATGGGTGGGGTACAGATGCATGGAAAGGAGACAGACATCTGTCCTGCCTTGCAGGGTATGGGAGAGGGTTAAGACTGGGCTTCAGGCCTCTGGCTGCACCTGGCCCTCCATACCAAATTACCAGGGTTGATTATTCCTCCAGGGTTGGGTTAAGGGGCTAGGGAAAGACTCCAGCACATGGTTCCTAAAGAGGATTGCAGGAGGCTGGGCCCTGGGCTCCCTGTATGCAGGGATGGTAATTTGTCACTGCAATCACTCAGCAGCCCTCTGCCAGAACAACCAGTCCTAAAGCTCAGGAGCAGCAGACCCATGGCCTAAAGGATGCTCCTTCCTGCATATCCCTTGGCTTTCAACCCATTTGCTCTGGGGATACTGTACTCTCCAAATGGCATAGGGCAGCAAAGCTAGGAAGCAGCATACAAATCAGGGGGAGACAGGGAGATAGAGAATAAGAGAAAGGAGGTATGTGGCAATATGGGGTAATGTGCTGCCTAGGTGGGGCTGTCAGACTTGCCTTTGTTTCCTCCCAGGGCAGTTTGTTTCCCCAACTATCTCCCCACACCTATTCCCAGGAGATCCTGAGGGCCAGGCAGGGCTGGAACCTCTGGGTCCATATTGGTAGGAGGCCCTCAGAGTCCACCTTCTCTGGATTCCTGGCCCTAGGAGGCCAGCCTCTCCCCTTCCATGATCCCAGCTCACACAGGGACAGGCAGGGACATGAGGGACATGAGGGCCCATGAGGGACAGCAGGGCCCAGCTTCCTGGAGAAGGGGACTCTAGTTGTCTCTTGGAGCCTGGATATGGCCTGGAATGGGATGGCAGCATGACTTGACCCGGCCTAAACTCTGACCTGGGCCTGGCTCTGGCATGCATGGACTTGCTCATTTATTAAAAAATGGATTTATTAAGATATAATTCATATACCAGCAAATTCACTCACATAAAGCATACAATTCAGTGACTGCTAGTGTATTCAGACTTGTACAACCACCATCACAATCTAATTTTATAATATTTTCATCACCCCCAAAGAAATCCTGTACCCATATGTAAAAATCCCCTCATCCCCTCCCCTCCAGCCCTGGGCAACCACAAATCTACTTTCCATTTTGTGGATTTGCTTGTTCTGGACATTTTACAGAAATGGGATCACATGGTACGTGGCCTTTTACCACTGGCTTCTTTCACTTGGTACAATGCTTCTGAGTCATTTATGTTATAGAATTATCAAGTCTTTGTTTTTTTACTTAGACTTAGCTTGGGTAAAGGGGCACAGCTTTGACACAGGCTGGGGCAGTTGCAGGTGTGCCTCTGATCCGGAGCAGCTTTAAGACTTCTTGCTTATTTATGCTTGACCCAGCTCCAGCGGCCCCACCCCTCCAGCTCTCTGGGGAGGAGGGGTGGGCTGAGTAGCAAAGGTGTGCCTGCTTTGTCAGGATAGCCCAGCAGGTCCTGCACCCCACAGAACTCCTGGGCCTTGGGGCTAACAATTACAACAGATACAACCTCTCTGAGTATAGATGGAGAGACTGAGGCCCAGAGTTGGTGGAGCAGGGGTTGCAGACTCCAGCCTTATACAGCCATGGCCTTCTCTGTGGGGCACCCAAGGTCCCTCCCCATCACAGCCTGCAGCCTGCCCTATTGGCAGAGATTCCACCATCAACAGGGCACTGTCCTGGCCAGAGCACAACCCACAAATAGATCAGGATACCCAGAGGAGTGGAAGGACCCCAGGCCTGACAGGACAGAGGGGCACAGCTGCCTAGGTCTGAGACTCTAGGTCTTCCTTCATGCAGCAGACTCCTGATAAAAACTGTCCTGCTCCTGTCACAGCTGCCCATAGTATCCATGAGTGCATCCCTGCTGATGACTGCCCCACCTAAATTCAGAGGGCTAAGGACTGTGCAATGAAAGGATTGAGACACTGCCCTACTCATAGTCAAGGATACTCCATTTGCCCTCCCTTAATGGCCCTCCTGCCAATACACCAGCCTACCTTCAGGGCCTGCACCTTTCTGTCCAATAGGCTCTCAATGTCCCCTGCCACCTTCTCCACCAGCTTCTGAGGCTCATTCTCCTGCACCTCAAACAGGTTCCGGTTGTCCTTGTAGATCTAGAAGGAAGCAGAGGTTGGAGGTGAAGCCAGAGGGTTCCCACATTCCCATGCTAGGGTTCAACTTACTCTCTCTGCACAGCTCAACTTGGCTCAGCCTTCATCCCCTTCCCCTGGCTCAGAGAGCACAGGGTCCAGTGGCCTTGTAGTTGGCTATGGGAAAGGCAACGCTGGGGCACGGCATGAGGGTTCAGTATTGATCTGTTGGTTGTCAGCAGTTGTTGTTGATGATCTACACTGTCACCAACTTCTTTGGGTGTCAGGGTCCTCCTTTCAGGGACCATAAGCAGCACCTACTGAGTCATTTAAAGTGGCTGAGAATAGTAGGGAATAAGGGTGAGCTGGATGGGAGGCAAGAGGCAGGGCACTGGGGGGAGGTAGAGCCAATAAGCACACACCACACAGCCACATCCCAACATGAGGATGCTCTGACACCCGTGCAAGTACACATGCTTACACACCCACACAGGCATGCTCACATAGCCACCTCTCTACATAGCCTCAGGCATCTATACCCCATTTGCTGGTGCTGCTCCAGGGCACTGCACAAACTGTATCTGAGTTCTGAGTGTCCTGGGGGCTCCTCTGTCATTCATGGCATAAAATATGGGGGTAGGGAAGGGGGAAGAGGGAGTGAGTGGTGGGGAATGAATCTGCCAATCCCCCCTCCTAAGTGGGTGGGTCTGTGTGCATGCACATGTGGCAGTATAAATCTGATGGGGTGTGTGTTTGTTATACCACTCAACACAGCCATCTGTGTGCACATGTGAGTGCCTAGGGGATGGGGTGGGGTTAGGTCCTTTAGACACAGCCGGGGAGTTGAGAGCAGATTCTTCAGTTGTCTTTGTTTATAGCTGAGGCCTGTGTGTGTGTGTGCGCGCGCACGTGCGCATGCACATGTGCACGTGTGTGTATATGCATTGTACACCCCTATGTATGTCTCCAGGCTGGACCAAGTCTGTGTATCCATTCAAGTGACCTCAGGAGTCTGTGCCCCAAGGTGGGGCACCACCAGAGGTCACAGTCTGGGCTGCCACTACAGAGCCATGCTACCAGGCTGAGCCAGGCTGCTGTTGAACTGGAGGGATATGGAGACAGAGAAGAGATTATGAGCAGAGACAAGGAGGTGACAGAGGCAGCTGATGAGAGACAGGCAGGGAGAGATAAGGTCAGCAGAGTGACAGAAGATGGTGGAGATAAAGCTTCTCTCATTTGACAGGGGGATGGGCTGGGGCTGATGCTGCCAAAGCCCCTGCTCTGCCTCCACCCAGCACCTGGCAGTCCAAGGGTTAAAGCACTGCACAAAGCCGGCTCTGGCAATCTTCTCTTTCCACCACCCCCACCCCTCCCAGTTTTTCTTTTCTTTTTTGTCCTTCTCTTAGAACAAAATAATTTGTGGTGAAGTTGTTCCTTCCTGCAGAGGAGTGGCAATCGGGGCAAGTTGCAGGCCTGGCTCCACGGCCAAGGATGGAACCCTGAGTGGACACTCGGGCAGGCTATTCCCCAGGGCCCAGGCCCTGACTCAATCCAGAGGCCCTCAGAATGAGGTCAGTGATGGAGAGAGGGAGAGAAGAGGTTGGAAGCTGGGGATGGTAGAAAAATGCAGGGAATCTGTGCCTTATATTGAGGAAACTGAGGCTTAGGGAGAGGACAGGTCAAGGTCACTGAACGAGTGGCAAAGCCCCATGTACCCTGAACGATCTTTCTTGGATTTGGGGACATTAGAAATAATCCCCTTCCTCTGCCTTCAACCATAGCCCCTTGAATGAGCTCTGGCCATCCTGCAGAGGAGCACCCCACCCTTCTTGTGCCAGCAGGGGGTGCGGCTGCCTGGCTTCCTCAGGGAGGGGGAAGAAGTTCTTATACTTTAGGCTGCCCTGTCAAGGTTATTCCCAGAATCCAAGGTGGACCATGTGGGTCTCCTGATATTTCTCCCAGGGCTAAGATGCCCCTTGCAGCCTGGCTTGATGACTGGGCTGGGGCTTGGGGCCTGGAGAAAGAGTAGATCTCCAGGTCTAAGAGCCACATCTCAGGGCCCCCAGACAGGTGACACAAAGTTTTGGAAGTTGAGATTTTGCCAAAAGTCACCCATCTCTGAACCCTCAGTGTCAAATACATTAGAAGAGGATGGCAATCCTCACTTCTTCAGCCAAGGACAATTTGATTCATGCCTTGAGAACCCTGTACTATTGTTGCTACTGCTACTGTTCAGGATGACTATAATTCTTTGGAAGGAATCACAGTCCCCTCCCTGCCCACCCTCTCTCCCTGCTAGATCTGCACGCTTAGAGCTGTCTAAAGGAATCTGCTTCCATTTCTAAGTTGGCAGCCTCACTCTCCTGGGGTCTGCTTGCATCCAGCCCCAGACTCTCCTCTCTGATCCCTCCCCTAGCCATGTGGTCCTTGTCCCCAACACCTCAGCCTCAGGGGTGATAACAGGGAAGCCCAGACATCAGGACGCCACTGCTTAGGCACAACTGTGGCCAGCTCCTTCCCATCTCTCCTCAAGCACCATGTCAGTATGCAATGGACACTCAGTAGAGGCATCTGCCTAATTTCACATTTAAGAGCAGAGCTCTGGAGCCCAGATCTGATTCCTCTCTTCTGCCTGCATCTGTGAGCCCTTGGAGCCCAGGGATGCCTCAGCCATACTTTCTTCCTGTTCCACTTCTACCCTAGGACTCACCATGGTGCCCTTCTGTTGGCACCTGGTACCTCTCTGGCCACTGAACTATCATATTCCTGCAAGCCTTGGGTCCCCAGCCCATGCTATTCCCACTGCCACACCTTTGCTCATGCCATTCCTGTTTCCTTTCCACCTTTCCTTGCCCATGTAAATCCTCTCTAGAGTGAGGGCAGGGAAATATGCTGAAAGGGGTTTCTGTGGAGACAAGGGCAGAATTTCAGAATGGCACTGGCTCATCAAACTGTCAGCCAAGTCTGAGGTGCAAAAGTCCTTGAATAGCAGGGCCCTAGTGCCTCACCCTTTCCTCTACTTTCCCCTGGACCTGTCCAGCTGTCTCAGCTATCTAAAGACACTCCCCCACCCTGGTACCGGGGATCTAACTGAGGACCTTGCACTTGCCAGGCAGGTGCAGTGCCACTGAGCCACAACCTTGGCCCTCTAAAGGCATTCTCTTCTATTCTCAATGTAGGCCCTGAGCTGAGCCCTGAGCCCCAGGGAGATCCAATCAACAGACCCCAGCAGATGGCCCCACCCCAGGAGACAGGTCATCTCCACATTGATGTGGTCCAGGGAAGTGCTTCCTTCAGGGAGCCCAGGAGGGCTCAGGGTAACTCCAGAGCTTGGACTCTACCTAGGGCTAGTTCTCCTGGAGCTCAGGGCCCAGCTCTGGCCCCAGGGGGCAGCTGGAAAGTGGCAGAAAGGCCAGGGAATAGCAGTGCAGGCCCTCTGCAACCATGTGGGACCACATGTCTTGGCCCAGGGAGTTAATTGGAAAAAATCTAACAGTTCCCACAGCAGCGCAGCTTGAGAAGGCCCCACCTCTACCCAGACAGCTGGCCAGAGAGAGCAATGGGGCTGACAGTCTGTTGCTCCAAGCCAGTTGCTATTGGGGAGAGAATATGGGGTGGAAGGATGGTGGTGGGACAGGGCAGTGGATAGAGCCAGGGGGGCATGTGGGAGTGTCCAGGAGATGGGGGCAGAGGGGCTAAGGAACAGGGAGTACAGGGGTAGCAGAGGGACACTTGGGAAGCTGTCTGGAGCCCTTTGTTCCCAGGAGTCCCAGGTCCTCCACCTTGTACCATGTACTTACGGTCTTTACTCACCCTTGAAGGCACCCCACCCTGCAAGTTATGGAGAAAAGGCCCTCCATCTCTCCCCTTTTCCCACTGCTAGCTCCCACCTGATCCCTCTTTCAGCTCTGACAACTCCTGTTAAGCGGCATGTGCAGCCAGAATCCTGGCCTAGGGGTCTGTAGACCCTGTGGTGGCTGAAGGCTCCTCAGGGGGCCCAAACTCTCTTCCTAGCCTCTTTCTTTCCTGGTGGCTCCATATAAATGAGAGGTGAGCCTGGAGGATGCTTGGAGGAACTGTGATCTTGGACAGGAAGTCTGGAGACCTGTAGGGCAGAAGGATCCTGCCTTGTTACCACAGCTCCCAAAAGTTCTAATGGGGTGGGGGTGGGGAAATAAAGCATCTTTCAGCCTGCAGATGCCAGGATCACAGAGACAGACACCCTAAAAGACAAAAGACCTCAAAACAAGTGACATGACAGACCCCAATCAGAGGGCAGTTTCCAAAGACCTAGAAAGCCAGCAGCAGTGGGGTCTGTACCTGAACTTGCACTCAGCTGCCCACTGACAGGGAAGAGGGGGAGTGGTGGGGAGAGAGTAATACAGACCACAGAGGCCAAAGGACCAAATGACCCATTTATTGTGGAGTGGAATGTTGGCTCTGGCCACCCTGTCTTTACACACTTCATCTCACTGATCCCTGACAACTCTTGAAGAGGGTCCATTCTGGTCATCACCGTTTAGCAGGCAGGACATTGAAGGCTAGAGAGGTGAAGTCCCAGGGCAGGGTTGGAATCCAAACGGGGCCTATCTGATCCAAGCCCTTGCCTTAGGGCACACTCAGGAGTTCTGTCCCCTGCATTTATGAACTAGGGTTTAGCTGGCCTGAAAGGGCTGATGCTAAAGGACAGGTGGCAGATGAGGTATTTTGCAGGTGAGGAGGTAGAGGCCTGGCAGAAGCAGCCTGATCCACTAACCCCACCCAGCCCTGGTTGTGAAAGCAGGCACACATGAGAGGCTCTCTCTGCAGTGAAGGTGAATGGGCCCTAATCTCTGGAAAATTAAATCAGAAAACAGAATGAGAAAAATTTGACACAGGCTCAACCTTGTCTCCTCAAAGGCTCAGGCTCAGGTTCAGTCTGGGGCTCAGCCCCCATTCTGACCCCTGGCTGATGCACTGTTCTCCATATTTCCTCTTACCACATCTCCTGGTGTCTGCTTCTTGTTCCCATGAGGAGCAGCCAA